CGGAGTAAAAATACTCATATATCAAAGTGGTTATCGTTTTTATAAAGCAATCGCATTTCTGGCTAGTATATTTCAGGACGAATGGATAAGGATTGAGCTAAGAGCTTGCGTGAGCAAATCCAATTTTTGTCAGCAAATGTCAGTTATGCGGTTTTAGGGATTGACGATACGCGGTTTTGTATTTTAAACGACGATATGTATATGTTCTTTAATAAAAGCAAATTCTTTGCTATAGAAGTCATTAAATTCCAATAAAGCTATGACACAGATTCTTTCAGGGCTCAAAACAGACTCCCTTATTACAAAAAATTCTTCAGCATTTACATATGTATGTATGTATGTACATAAGTAAACCATCTCGCTGCTTCGCTCTTCTGTTCATAGCGTTCAACCGGTTCTACATGATCGTCTCCATTGGCATTCTAATGTTTTTATTTGAATCGTTACCGTGACAGTCTGTCACTGTCACTAATTTGCCTGTGACTTTTCAGTCCCGTGTCAGTGTCATTTCACGTTCAATCTCCGCGCACAGGTTTTCTTTAAGTACCTCGGTCTCTTTCCATCCACGACACACTTTCCATTCTCATACCACAAACATTCCATCTATCATTTCATATCTCTCACTCCCCCCCACATTCACTTTTCTTTACAAATTTGTTTATTATTGTTTTGTTTCGTTTTGCTTTGCTTAGTTTTCATTTTACTGCTGCTCTAGTTTATTGCTCTATTGTTGTTTTTGTTGGTGTTATTGTCGCTGCATGCTTTATTGCTGCACTTTGTGTCGATCATTAGTGAAAATTTGTTTTCATATGCATCCACTTGTTTGCATATTTGATGTTTATGTTGTTAGTGTTGGGTTTTGTTTTTTTGGTTTTTTCTTCTTCTTGTGTTGTCATTGTTATTGCTGTCGTTTGGACTGCATATCAAAGTGTGCGCATTCCTCAAAATTAGCATCTATGTTCATTTCTGCTATTATTTGCAATATGACCACATTTCGTCAGAAGGTGTGTTTTAATAAAAATGCCACACGCCAAGCAAATTATTACATTCCTCGGTACTTATGAATTGATGGCTCGCTTTGTTTTTCTTTCTACAATTTTTCGTCATATCGTCGGCATTTACAGTCGAATCTTTAAGTGTGATATATCGACGCTTTTTTCATTGACCTGAAGTACCCCGTTCTAGTACTTACCCATCATATCTTAGTTCTTATCACTCTAGTAAGTCAAAGCTCGAAATTTTTTTCCTTGTAAGGTGGTAATTGTAATGTATATAGTTAAATATTCTTTTTCTTGTTTTGATTCTTACACCCGATTTACATGATTCAAGTACTTGAAAGCAATTCTTGCTCATTCTCTTTTGTGTTTTCTATTTGCTTTTACACGTTTCAATTCTGTTGAATTCAAGTTTTTGGTTCTTTAAATGGGAAGCAACGAAAATGCCAAAAGCAAAGCAAGAAAGTTGAAACGACTTGACGGTACAGACGCATGTGTACTCGTCCCTTTTCTTCTCACCCCCTCTCTTCCACATGCGAGCAGAATTGAATTCAATACTTGAACTGTGTAAAAGCAGTCTTATAACACTGTTTTTTCATTGCCCCCTATCTGAGGTCATCATCCAACATTGGTTCACATAGACACACACCTTCCGATCATTAACTGCTTCCGCTCCAGCAGCTGCATGCTTGAAGCGCCGATGACGATACAAGCCATGTGCGAACGGCCTAAGTGTCTTATTCATCTCGTCGTTCGTCTTCATTCTCTTTGACTTTTAAAATGTAATGAATACGATTTGCCAGTCAAGATAGGATGCTGCTTTTGACATTTTTAGGTGAAACTTAAAATAGCCACACATTTTTAAAATAAAATAAATAATATAAAAAAAACTTTTTAATATACAACGCTTTTATAAATGGACTAAAAAGTAGAAAAT